TATGTACTGTACAGTACTTAGTAAATCTGTTCATAATTACATCATATTTACAAATATATGTATCTATGAAATTAGCATAAATATTTGAACTTATTAAACTCTAAATTATTTGAGTTTTAATTTTTTAAATTACTATATTTTCTGTAAACTATGTTCTAAATGATGAATATAATAATTTCGTATTATTAAAAAGCAAAGATATTTGGAGCAGCAATATTTCCAGTATTCTTTGAATAATTAATAAATATATTAGTATTTATTCTGAAAGATGATGTAAGTTGATATTTGGTTAGCTTGTCTAGATTGTGGTTTAATTATGGCAACTGCTAAACTAATTTAATGACAGACTTGTCAGTAACTGTCCTAGTGTAAATGGAATAGGGATTTAAAAAAAACACTAAAACTACTGAATAATTCTTTATTTCTTTAATTTGACATGCTATAGTGCATTACATGTTTAAAAAGCAATAATTTATTTACTGATGAATATCCCATTTACAATTCTGATTTAATGGAATTGATGATTTTAGTGAGTTTTAAGAATACACTCTGTTGACATAAATTCTTAGCTACTTATATAAATGCAGTAAGGCAGTTATACGAATTTATCGTAAGTGTAAAAACTGGAATGAAGTGTATATATATATATGAACATGTAATAACTGGTTATAGCAAATTAACTGATTTGGCACAACTGTACAACCATCCTTAAAAAAATTATAACTGGGTAAAATATATGATTTTTTTTTTTTTTTTCTTTGGCAACAAAAATGGAATTCTCAAAAGAAAAACAAATGTTATAGCTGCACTCATTTTTTTGTGAATTTATAACTTTGTATAAAACATATATTTATATATATAGCTTTCACATTCCCTTGGCTTAAATATTTAAGTAGAATTATTTTTGTTCATTATACGTCGTATAAAATTTTGTGAAAAAAAATTTACAATCGATAATAAAAATAAAAACAAATATGATACAGAAGAAATGAAATTATACAATATGCATAGATAATACAAGCATCCTGCAGTTGTTCCGTTTTTGTACGTGCACGACAGATGCTAATGGGTTCTTTTTTTTCTCCAGGAACATTTACGACGTGAGTTTAAAGTAGACCTAAAGAAGTGAAGCGTTTTAATTTGTCGAAATGTCTTCGATCTTTAATGTATCTTCTTGGAATAATATTCATGTTGGGCAAAGCACTGAAATCAAAATCAATTCTATAGATATTCTTTAAATGTTTGACAGGATGGTCTAAAAATATGATTTATAATTGTCTTGCTTCAATTAGTAATATTTTTGTATTTGTAGCATTTAGTGTACTGTTTTCTACATGATTTATCACTTTATATGCACAATACCGGATAAAATTTTCAGTAGATACAGGAAAAGTCCTGAAGTCGATGCTCCCTTTGGTCCACCGGCTGACCAAAGGAAGGAGAAAGCATTCGTGAAAATGTCTATTGTTTCAAAATTTGCAGCATGGGCCTAACCCCTTCACAAAAGTTGTAAGTTGTGTATCAACTCTGGAGCTTCTATAAACATTGCAACTTACCAGTTGAAAAATTAGGTCTTTATGCATTGATTCAAATAATCTTGATTTTTATAGTATATTTGTAAAATTGTGACTTTTTGTCTTTCTAAGTTTAATTTCCATATTATCAAAATTTTTTTTATAATTGTAAAAATTAAGATTCCTACAACACACCATAAGTTTGAAATGTGTTGGCAATCCAAAAGGTTTGGAAACACTGCTCTAAGTTATTGTGTCCTAAAAAAGTTACATTGACAATGCATTTTTTTAATGTTGTGAAAAGGTTTGATTTTGAAATGCCATATCTTAAGGGGAGAAGAAATGAAATATTACTTTATCAACCATTTTCAGAATCTAGCTTCTGGACAACAGAGTTGTTTTCATTTTCTTTTGTTGTATGTTGTTATATCTATGATACAAACAAATCTCAATACTTTATGGATGAAAATTTTAGAATTCAAATTCACAAACTGGCTAAAATTAAGTAGTTTTTCCATACACAATAAATAAATCTGTACTACAATACAGTACAGTATTTATTTTGGATGGACAGTTTGTGATGTGATTATTACAATATACAAAAACTTATAGTTCTGGAAAAGATTGTCAAATTGCAGATTCTGATGGCATTTATCTTAAGTGACTGAATGCAAGAATAGGTATACACTGAAATGTGAAGTTAGCCAAAAGTCTTGTGATAAATTTTTTCTGTCTTGACTGACTTCAATAATTAGAATAACATACTTCATGCTGACTTAATGGGATATCAAAGAGGACAAAAAAATGCATAGGTCCAGTAGAAAAATTTGTTATGCTTGATGTTTTCTCTTAGGACTTTTCCTGTATTTCAAGAGAGAATTTTTTGCTTTGAATCTATAGTATTTGATTTATATAAAATTTAATATCTGCTAGGATATCAATATTTTTTGGACCATCTTATAATTTAATTTATAATACAAAAATTTATTCTAATTATACAAAATATATTAGAAAAGAAAAATATGAAAAGCTATTTGGAGGGCACATGTATTGTTTGTTCTCCAAATAGCTTTGTTTATGTGGTGAAATTTATATCATTCAATCAATCTACTAAATAAATAGAACTCTTACTATTCTCCTGGAATATTAAATTCATGTCTAACATGGTAATCTTACATATATTTAAGGCTATTATATGTACACCAACAAACAATATTGCTGGTATGAAAATTGTCATTCTTATATACAGTATTGTATATTATGTTATTTTGAAAAGAATTTTAAACAAAATAACAAAAAAAAAACACACACACATTTAAATAAGATTTTAAAGTTACGTTTTATCTACCTTATATAAATTTTTACTATTTGGAATAAAATCAATGTATGTAATTTAATTCAAGCAGCTAAAGGAGTAACAAAAATCACATCTGAGAAATAAAGAACATTGAAGAGCTCATAATCGAACCTGAAATGGATCTGATGACAGAATACCAAGAAACTCTGCAAGATATGTTTTCTTCTGAAAAAGAGGATTAAAGCCGATATCTACTATTAAAGATCTTTGAAGAAGTGGGAGGATGTCAGAATAACAGTCTTAGAATGGCATCCAAACCAGGTTGAGGTTAATAGGCTTAGGGATCTCTGCAATTACAATGCTATTAATTATTTCTGAGAAATCCTGCCTGAAGAAGAGAGAAAAACAATCGACATTAGACAGATTCTTTAACCCCCACAAATGGAAAAAACATGACTAACAGAAATGCAAGACTGTGTATGTATGTGTTTTTATTATTACATATAAATGAACGTAGTAAGAAAGTATATATTTTTTTATTTTTTGGGGTCTCCAGAACGTAGTAATCAAATTCCCATAAAAACCTATGGTAAATTGATAATCGGTTAACGAACAAAGTCTTGAAACGGATTATGTTCGTTAACTGATCACCCACTGTATAGAGAAGCAACACAAGATTTTCTAAATCTGTAGATTGCAGCATCTCTCATGGACTGGAGGGAAACAACTTTTGAATTTGTTTGGAATGATTTATTTCGGAATGTAATGCTAAAGATGTTGAGTGGATGGATGTTTATGACAGACATGACAGGATAAATCATTCCAATGGATACAAATTGCCTTTGATATTCCCGCTGTGTTAATTGAACAACACAAAGCCCATGGATAACTAGTTAGTGATGTGCAGTAAAAATAATGCAATGCTATTATATGGAGTGTTTTATTTTGATAAAAGTGTAAATAAATAATTTTATATTAATATCTATTACATAACTGATATGTCATAATGATGCAAAGGCTTTATTAGTGATGACAACCAATGACAGAAAAAGAGGAGTTAAAAATTGAATTTATGGATGGTCCCTGAGCACATTAAAACAGATATGATATATACAAAAATGACAAATCTGTAGTGGAAACTTTTCCTATTCTCTTAGGAAAGTCAAGCAAATAAAATACAGTACTGGACCAAACATCTGGCAAGCGTCCAGACTCCTAGATTTTCTGGACACAGGCTAAATATATTACTTAAAATAATGCATTAAATACAATTTTGTTTTCTAAGTACCAGAAATCATACTGAAACTAGCATTATGAAATGCATATGGCAAGAAAACCAAAACAAAGTGAATGAGCAGTGAACTACAGCTGTACCAAATTCAAAATTAGCTAGTTTTCTGGAAGCCAGATATTTGGCCAGGTACTGTGTAGAAAGAACTATACCTTAGAGATAAAGCATGGACAACAATGGCTACACAATAACTAAATACACAAGCTTTTAGAGAAATAGATCCACCAATATAAAAATCACTCAACCTTCCCTTGTCAAGCAGTCAGTAAATGAATCCATCTCACTAATAGCTACAGTTTAACGATCTTCAGCTAATTTCTGTTCAAGCCTATTTGGTATATCATTCACTCACTCAGTAGACATTTATACTTTTCAACATCTGTCTTGGTTACACTGTTTTTATTTTAATTGTAACTTATGTTATCTCAACTAAATAGTCAGTAAAGAAATTTTTTGATCTTAAAAACTAATTATATATATATATAGTGTGTTTTTCTTTATTTATATAATATACAATATATCTATGAATAATAACCACCATAAATTCTTGTTCTATGTATGTTAATTGCTCATAAATGTAAAACTTAAATACCTTTCAATATGTAATCCGTGAGTAGTGCAGGAACTACAGGACTGTCTTCAATAATAGCTTTCAGAACTAAAATTAGGAAAATAATCAGTTCTTGACAATATTTATTGTAACAGAAAAAATACAAATGTAAAAAATTAGATTTTTAAAATAAAAACAGTTTACTAAATTATGATTAATTGACTTAATAGAATTTAATGGTTTGGTGACAGATTATGAATTATTATCACAGAATGAATAAACAATGAACAGCAAAAGTCAGGAAACACCTAGCTCATATTTTATAATGCATTAGCTATGTCAAGTAGAAACTTTTTCCTTGAATGTTTCACATTTCAAAACTAACTTTTTGTTATTATTGTTTCAGACCAAAAGCAAAAAAAATTTCAAAATGAATAATTTTACAAAAGTGACTTATTTCTTTACAATTCTTTAAAGTCAATACTTGATAAAAATAAAATATAATAAAACAACAGTTTCACTTAAGAATTAATTTGTGCATCCCTATCATAATCATTGTAATACTGTTAACAAAAACATTTGGTTATTAATTCAATTTCATATTCTGTGAACATCTGAACAATGCTTATCTAATATCAAATTAATGTTAGACAAGCATTTCCTTAAAGCACATTTCTAATCATATACAGCCCCGTGGAGACAGCACAACCTATGAAATCTCCAGATCCCTTGGTCCCCCTAACCACACTTATATTTGTTATACATCTTTTATATCTGTTTAATTTTTGTAAAATAATATAAATTTATGTATGGAGATAAGTCCATGTCTGTTGCATTACTCCACAATTCAACCATAATCATCATCTAAGAATTGCAAAAATTAACCACAATATGCATCAAATATACATAAGGCATTCAACTTGTGTCAACAAGTTTTCATTTAAACCTAAACAATTTGGTATTTATATTTTCATGATTTTCATGTCTTCTCTTTTCTGATTTTATCATCTTTAACCAGAACAACTTGTCTGACCATACATCATCTTGGTAAAAAAATAGCTAGTAAGCTGCTTTATCAGCAACCTAACAAACAACATTTGAAACAATATAAACTGGAAGTGATGATGTAAAATATATCCAAACAACCACTATTTGGTTAGCTACATTAAAACACATTTTTAATTCACTATTTAATTAACAGTCAAATGGCAAGGTGGTTCAGGCATTGGCCTACCATTCTGGTGAACTCAGGACTGAATCTGGAAAAGCAATCCCAATTTTTCATGAATATTCATGAAAAATTCCTGGGGTTGCTTGTGTCAGATCTCATCCCTCACCACACAGTCACCTCTATTGTAGTTCTGGGTGATATGATAATGGCCCTCTTAGTATCCACAGGAAGGGGGAAAAAATTAATTTTTAGCTTTAACTGCAAACAATAATCTTTCTCAGGGGAAAAAACTGAACCACATATTTTGTTAAATTTGATAAATTTATTCATAAAACTGACTCTAATGGTCAGTGATGAATGATCTGTCGACAAATTGAAGTTCTACTTCTGGTTGGATACTGAAAATATAATTCAAATTTTTATTTAATTTTGTAAAAATAAGTTGACTTATAGGTGATTTAATTTTTCAGAACTAAGTAGATCAATAATAACTGATAGGATCCACTCTTATTCCTTTGATTTTTGTAGGAAATACAAGGTAAATTTTCATTGTGAGTTTTATTGTGTTTAATTTTTATTGACCTTACAGACCCATGCAAAAATGCAATTCATAAATATGTATTAGTTTACAAAAATAAACAAATAATCACCAACTTAAAAATGAAAGTCAGTTTAATGGGTTTGAAACTCAAAGAAATTAATTTAGTGAAACTGATATGCTTTATACATATATTAAAGATTTGTTTCTATAAATCATACTTATAAACTTACTTTTTATCAGAACTTGTAAAGTTGAATTGTTTGGTGGTCCTTGTTCAGGATTATATGGAATTACAGTTGTAAGATACTTGAAATAATAAACAAAAAAACACAGTCTTATTTATTAATTTTAAAATTAATTCAATTTAAATTTATGTATGATTGGTTATTTAATTCATTGTATAAAGAATATTTAAAAACATCATTAAAAGTAAAAAGTTTGAGTTATTTAAATTATATCTATCCAGATTTTTAGATATATAATCAAAAAGAAAAAGATTAAATATATTTCTTGAGAAAATGAACAGAACCAGGAGAGTGCAAGTTTCCATTAAGTGAAACAGACAATTATACAGGTATAATTCTATAATTCTTTCCACAATATGAATAATGCCCATTTTACAAATATCATAGATAGTATACAGATCATTTTTCAAAACTTGAGATTCCTATTCATATAAATAACAATATTAATGATACTATGCAATTTTTAGTAATTTTTTGCAAAAACATCATTATTGAATGAACAAATAATAAATACAACTCCAAAATAAAAGTATTAAAAAGTTATAAAATGAAGAAAAATCTTTAAGTTGCTATTTCATAAAGTTAAAAATGCATTCCAATACTCCTGTTCATTTTCTCAATAAAACTGTTTGAACAAGTCCATTCTTTTCCAGATACTCTTCTTTTTTTAAATGGATATTGATATATAAAGTTTTCTTGATTACAAATATTTATTTATATTTTCAATTCAATATTTTTATTCGTGTATTTTTGAATGCAAGAATAAAAAAAATATTTAATTTATATTACATAAATACAAACTATTAATGTAAAATTAATTTCACAACACCTTTCTTTCTTTTTCTAGCAAATTTTTTAATGAACTAACGTTTTCAGCTATCTTAAATGGCCTTCTTCAGGTTAAGCATCATTTGGAACGTCAGTTAGAACATAAATTGGAACATAAAATTTGAAACATCGAGCTTTGCTCGCATTAATGTAAAATATTGTTCATTAACATAGTATTTATCCAATCTAAATTTCATTACTTTCAATAATTTTTCAATAAATATATATCCAAAAAAGAAACATTTACAAAATAATCTAATGAAATAATTGAATAAAATTTAAAAAATGTAACAAAATTTTTCAAAATATAAACTTTAGTATATATATCATATTTCCAACTAAGAATAAAACCAAAAGGAAAATTTGTCATCTCATTTCATACATTTGTTATTTGTAATTTTTTCATTAGGTTATTTTCTTTGTATATAATCATATCTCCATAAAACACTATGGTATTTATGTATGAATATTAACAATACGTCAATTATTATTACAATTAAAATATGATATGTTTTGATTTATATAAAAGAAAATGTACTTTTGGTTCAGATAAGCCATGATTCAGTCTCCCTCTTCTCTTTTCTGTATTATATTGTCTTCGTTTGTTTTGTATACTAAGTAGCAGAGAAATAAATGTATTCTTCAGTTCCTTTTCAAATTCAAGCTCATCTCTCAGAGCCAATTCTTGAATTAAAACTTCTGAATTCTCTTGTATCATCCTCTCCAATTCAATATATAATTCATTCAACTGAACAGTGGTCAATGCTTGTAATTCTAAAATATTTAGAAAATTTTATAATTTTATTTTTTCTTATCATCATTATTAAATTTTGAAAACTATTTGAAAAAGTACAGTAGAATCTTGTTTTAATGGATTGCTTGGCCTGCTGAAAATCATCCAATGTTCCAAGAATCCATTATATCATGAACAATGGATTTCCCACATACCGAGGAAAATATCAGTTATATGAAAAAAAAATTTCTGTTTTTAACCCAATATATATAAGAAATAACTGTATTTGAAATTATTCACTCCCTTGAGATAAGTCTTTCCATATAGAAAGGATAACAATGTTACAAGATCAAACATTATGTTGTAGTGTGTACAACAAAGCTGATGGAAATTATGTACACTGTAAGCACAAAAAGAGGCAAAGTACAGTATGTATGCTCATTACCATCTCACTTGACTTCACGATTTGTTAAAAACTAGTCAATCTTGGTTTGTTTTGACACTGCTTTTCTCCTATTAAGTACAATTGCTCAATATTAATTTAGCAATGTATAACCTGTACAGTACATTGCTGTTCAGCCTGTTTGTTTATGTCAAAACATGTCAGAAAGGTCTTCATGATTTAGAAAGACTCAATGACTGCTAAATTTTGGCACTACATTTGGGCTGGAAGTAGCTTTCTGCACTAATCAATATGCTATAGGAGGCCTAATGTATGGCTGTAACCTTAGCAATGACTGCCGAGATGATTATGTATCTATTTTGCTCCACATGCAATGTATTTTTTATTTCAATACCCTAAAACACCCAATATTAATTAAATGTTAAAAAAAAAAAAACAATGTTTACAATAGATGGAGCTAGGAAATAATCTATTATTCTGAGTTATGGATCCACTAAAAGGAAGTAAATTACACTGATTTCACGAGACCTGGGGAAAAAATACATTATTCTGCAATCCATTAAAATGAGATTCTACTGTAATTTTATTATTGTCAATTTCTAACTACAACTTCAAAATTTCTTCAAATAAATGTGTTATTATATTAATAAATATTTATGTTAAATTTACTTTATTCATATCAGAAAATAATAAATTACCATTATTAATTCATGTTATAAGTTGCATCATGATATGTACCAAAAAAATAATTATAAAAAGTAGAAAACAATTTTAGCTTAAAACCAATATAATATTGTATCCGACGGAAGAAGGGTGAATATATATGTCCAAAATGCATATTGGAGTCAATAAAATTGAAATGAGAAAAAAGTCACCTTAAAGTAATTTGTGATCATTATGATAAGTTTGATTTTGAGGCATATCAATAGCCAATTGAAAATTTAACATAGTTATCAAACAAGAAGCATTTTATACTAAAGTTCTAATGAAGATAAAATAATCAGCTAAAAAAAAAAATAATAAAAATGCATAAACATTTAACTACTGTTTCTATTGTTTCATTTTTTGCCATTTGCATACATTTTCAGATGGCATTAAAATCTTTTTTATAGTGAAAGTACTTTCAACAATACACAATTGTTGTCGTCAGGCTAAAGAAAGTAGAATGGAATTCACTATATGCAGTAGGTCTACAACATTCTCAAAATTTAAATATTCCAAATATTTAAACTTTTCAATGGGATACAATTTTTATGATAATTTGTCATGCATGAACTTGTGCCATAAAAATTAAGGTTCCATTTTAAGAATTCAGTTGCACGTTTTTTTGTGTTTTATTTCAAATTCTGTTCTTTCTTATAATTGCAAGCCTCAAATTCCATTTCAAAGTTTAAATGTTTGGAATATTTAAATTTTGAGCAAAAATTTAAAGCTTGGCAAATATATCATTTATGTCAACTAAATATTTCTTTTAATCTGTATTTGTAAATACCATGAACAATTTTTCCTTGCAAGGTATGTGAAAACAAGTTCATTATCAGATTCAGACTTATCCTTCATTTCTACTGAGGCAACACTTTGATAATGGCATTTTGAAGATCATTACCCACATAGAAAACTTAATGATGTAAATATAACTCTTAATAATGATTAATATTTAAAATGTACAATGCTGATGCAAACCTATTACAATATACACAAAATCTATTCTATCAGTGGGCATATTTCCACTACCAGATGCATCCAGCTGTAAAAGCAAGATGCTGTGAGTGACAGTGACAAAGCTTGCAATTTGACAACATAACAGGGATCTACATGCACCTTAGTCTTAACTGGAATGCTATAAATATATTGACTGATAACTTTACAAGTGTTGCCTGAGAAAGCTATACAAAACCCCTGAAACTGATTTACCACTTTGTATGTCTATGTGATTGCCTCCATCTTGCAGAAGTTCATACTGCAGATTCAATATATGAATGCCATTTAGCAATAAATGCAAGAAGTCTCTTGACAAGATACACATTGCAGAATTTAAATTTTCTGTTGTGGAACCATCTATACATGAAACAGTATCCTCTATATGTCTTTGTGCCAGTTTGTTAACAGATCTTAATATTATCACTTAAAAAAGTTACACGTCAAAAAATCTGAATTTCTAGATTAATTTTAATACAAACTATATTATGTTAGCGATTTTTTTTTTGAAAATTTAGGTCAAATTTTAAAAGGAATAATGAGACATTTTTATGATTTATGTGATAATGTATATTTAAATTTCTTTATTAGAAATAATTTTTATTACATGCCAATAAAATATTTGAATTACAAAAAACAAAAAATCTTAACAAACTTAAATTTATATTTTCAGAATAACAATAATAATAAAAATAAAATCAAAATTATTTCAAAAATGTTAAAAAAGTTCTAAAATTTACAACTGACTTTTTGAATTTATGATTATTTGCTAAGTTTCATTTGTTTAATGTAAAAGTAAGGGTTTGTTTATAAAATTATAAAATTTATTAACTTGCCTTTAATCTTAGTCTTATTAAATTACTCATTTAAAAAAATTAAGTAAATCAGAATGTATAAAACTAAAGTTTCTAAAATATCAAATGTTATATTAAAATTATAAACAATTTTATAAATAAATTATATTAGAATCCATATATTCTTACAAAATTATATATTAGAAGTTTTATTTACATAATGTATGGCTTATTATATGCTAAAAATGTATGCAATTTTCTTTAAAAAAAAGTTAGTTAAATTTTTCAGAATTACTTTAAATTGACACAAATCCTTAAATCACAGAAATAATACTCACTGTCTTCATAAAGAAATGATGATAAGGCAGAATGTTTCTTTGAATGTGTATCTGGAGATTTTTCATCAGGAGAAGGAGACAATTCTTCACTTAATGGTGATTCTTGTTCCTAAATTATTTAACTTTTTTTTAAATTTATCAAATATAATATAATTTTATAGATATTTTAATTTTAAAAAAATATTATAAACCTGCATTATTTCATCAATTTCTTCAAGCACTTGTTCAGCAGTAAACATTGGTTCTTGTTGAAGGCTCGAAATAATCAAAGAATGCATATCTAAATCTTTAGCTAATTCATCTTCATCTGTTGTATCAACTTCCAAGTTATCATTTTGCTGTAACAAAATCACTAAATTGATTGACTATTCTTTAAATTTAGATATTAATTTTAAAATATTGCTGCTAGGCAGATTTTTGTACTATGATTCTCTATCAATAGAAATGAGCCACAAATGTTCCAATATTTTGAATGCATGGTAGAATTTTATTAATCCAGCATCTGATAATTTAAATTTCCAGTAATTCAGCCTCCTCCTAAAGGCAGTTGATAATCAAGAACTATCTGAAAATATCTTGTATACTAGTATTCTAAGAAGCAGAATTTGTTTGGACATACAGTGATTAATGAACACATTATTGCCTGGAGTCTTCAATGTTTTTACAAGTTTTTTTAATCAATCTTAACACAACAGAGTCACGCACAGTATCATTGATTAAGAGCACTGTCTGATTGATTAAGAGTGTGTGTAACAAAAAAAAAACAACAACTGCATAAGTAAATTGGAATTATACATGAACAGAATAACACCTAAACACAAATTTCCAGCAAATAAATACATAAATATTTAATGTTCAAATGTTTTTGGCCACAGTCTTATCAGCCCTCTTCAGGAATGAATATGAAAAAACTGTTCTATAGATCGAATACAGCCATGTTATGATTTTTAAAAAAATTTCAAACATGTTTGAACAGGGAGAAGAGGGGTGATAAAATTGTGGATGAAAACATTTGAACATTAAATATTTGTGTATTTATTTGCTGGAAATTTTTTAGGTGTTATTTTTAGTGCGTGTAAACAAAAATCATATAACAGTGTGAGCTGGTTCAAAACATACAGCAATATCTGCAACATTAAGATTATATATAACTCGGTGAATTTTATGAAAATACAAAAACTTCCAGTAATGCAGTAATTTTCAATAATCCAGCACTTTTCTGGTCTCACTATTATTATCAGACCACAGTTCTTAACAAGTTTAACACAGTTTAATAACCCAAAATGTACATTTTGGTTTAATAAAAATTCTTAGTCAACTTTCAAATTAAAGAACTGTGGTCTGATAAGTCCTTTGTAGTAGTAGCAAATTAGTAACTATTAAGATTATTATATAATAAACAGAAAAGAAAGCAAACAATAATATGTTAGTTTGTTTATAGTAAATAAGAGTTAAGTGAGAAATCTACTAATCATTCGTATATGAATACGAATGATTCGTGCATGCAAAAAGAAGAAGAAAAAAAAAGGGTCAACAGGTTGTGCACGAAATCCCGGACTGTCCGGATGATGACACTTTTCGTGCTCATTTCAGTCGGTCTGAATTGTAGGTGCGACGAAAATATGTGATGAAATGGTTCAAGTTTTTACAAAATATTATTATTATTATTTATTGTGAAATTTTGCCGCCCCCTAAAAAGTAATTTTGCCACCCCCACTATGCTACGCCACTGGATATCAATGCTAATACATTCTTTTTATCATTAAATAAAAATATAATATAAAATAAAATACATTATATAGATTTGTTAATGTTTTATTGTATTTTATTTTATTTTTACTTTTTGAAAATGCTGTGAAATTTATATATTGGCTGAATGTTTAAAGCATCTACATACGTAGTACAATCCAAAAGTTCGGGGACTTGGCTTAAAATTCCTTACCTTAAAAAGTTTATATTGCCGATGCACAACCATCTTCAATGTAATCACCTTGGGCAACGATACAGTTTTGCAAGCGCTCGTATAACTTCTGGAAGCACTGCTAGAAGCCATTTTTTGAAACCTCCCGTAAGGCCTCCTGCGATGCTGCTGTCACTTCATCTGATGACACAAAACGGCGTCCCTGCAAATGCTTTCTCATTGATGGAAACAAATAAAAATCACACGAAGCTAAGACCGGTGAATAGGCGAGGTGTGAAAGCACATTAATTTGAGATTTGGCGAGAAACTGTGTGACCATTTGGGACCGATGTGCAGGTGCGTTGTCATGCAGAAGGTACCAGTCTCCACTTTGCCAGATCTGCAACCGTTTACGACGAATGGATTCCCTCAAACGATGTAAAATGTCTACATAATTGAGAGACCAACTCAACATTTTCCTCGTTCCGTGAAGTCGAAGGTCGGCCAGAGCGTTCATCATCTGCGATGGATTCACGGCCCTCTTTAAACCTTTGATTTCACCATGATAGAATCACCATACACCTTTCTTAGCAATTTTAAAGTCTTCATAGATGTTTTACCTAAACGCTGACAAAATTTAATGTTGCAGCACTGTTCTTGAAACTCCATTTTTATTACGTTGCCAAACAAAGGTTGGCAACTGGTTGCCAAATCTCTGAAAAAAAGCAACAGCACTCTAGGTTTAATCACATGGCATGGGCGAAATCAACCTGAACACGTAGGGGTAGTTTGATAGAATCCATTTCATACGCTGTAACTTTAAATACATGCTTTTGTTGTCATACATTACTGCAGTCCCCGAACTTTTGGATCGTACCACGTATANTCCTCTTTCTTTGCTGATCATTCTTTTGTCTTCCATATCACATTTGTTACCGAGAATCATCTTCTCGACATCTTCGGTGGCATGCTGAAAATGCAAATTATGAATAAATTAATATTAAATAATTTAGAAAATTCTGGAAGGAAAGAATCACTCCTGAGTGGGACTTGAATCCACAATTGCTACTTACCGTGCAGATGCATTGCCAGTTATGCTACCTGAACCTTCCTTGCTTTCAAACATATTTAATCCAGCAATTGTTTGACTTTATTATGAATACAAGCTTTCAGATGTTTATATATGTATCTACACATATTTAAATTTGTTGTTCTCTGTTCAAATGTATTATTTTTATAAGTTAAAGCTCTGAGTGATAACACAACATTTTTCAAGACTGTGTATAATTAGTAAGTCAATAACTCCTTAAAGTTTTTAATGTTATAGATTATTAATTTTGAATCTTAAAATTCTGATATTGATTAAATTAATTCAAATTTATTAATTATTAAAAAAAAAAAAAGCACATCTACCTGCAATTTAAATCTGACATATTAAACTATTGCAATTTCTGTTATTCAAATTTCTGCTTAAATATTTCAGGCATATTATTTGAAAATTTTTAATATCAATCCAACCTGTTTTGTTAACTGCTGTTATCATTATTAAAATTTTATCTTAAAAGGATAACAATAAATACAATACCTTATTTAATTTCACTGATCCAAATTATTCTGGAAAAATTTAATCTTAATTTTTTCATTTAACTTACATATTTCAATATCATGTAAAATTCAAAGAATACAATCATGAAAATGCTAAGCAAAAAAGTAATCAATATAAAAGACCTAGGTTGAAACAATATCATTTACATGTAGAAATAATAAAATATGTGTCCTATGAATAATAATAAAACAAAAGAGATCAAAAAAGTTTGGAACACATTGCCTGGGATAAGAATATAACCATAATGATGCAATCTTATTATTGGAATAATATAAGAATGCATATAACTTACTAGCTATCAAAATGGTATAGCAATACATACAAAACTAAAAATTAGAATTTTTAACAAAAGTAAAGATAAAATGAATTTATTATCTTGAATAATTAAATGAATTATTTTTTTAACAATTTTTTAAACAATCTTATTCATTAGTGAAATTTTTTCATAAAAGTTTAGCTTACCCTGTTCTGATTAAGATTCAACGCAGGCAACTGTAATTTCCTAGTGTAAGATTTGGACCAATCAATAGGTAGAATACTTCCAAAATTTCCAGTAAGTGTCCACCACATCCTTAAAAGTAATGCACATTTTATTAATACTTAATAAAAATTTAAAAAAAAAACACACACACACACACTAATATATATGAGCTTCCTACATTTTTCTTTTTTAAATATTAATTATTATGAAATAAAAATCACAAAGAAAAGCATTCATCTAGTAGAAAAAACACAATAAGCACTTATAATAATTCATGTTTATTAAAATATAAAAAAACTAGCTATATATATTTATATATATTAAAGTTCTTTTTGTTTCAATGTAGATTGTATTTGTTTTTGTTACAGAAAGATCTTTAGGAATCTACAGGAATCAACATATGAGATCATCTATCAGTTATGTAACACTATTTTTAAACTTTCAACTATCATCTTAGGATCTGTAATGGTAACACTCCTCTTAACAGCATGTCACACATACCCAGCCTCAAAATTACACACAGGGTTCCTACTCAAATATTTGTTTTAAATTCCCTGACCCACATGTCCCTTACGGTACAGTACATTAACAAAATAAAACATCACTTGACTTACTATGCACATACACTATTGCTTCTCCAACTTTTTGCAGGCTAGTTTTTCTAATTAACAGTTATATACTTTTTATAATCGATGAATTAGTAAAATTAAAATAAGAAAGACAGAATTATGGCATGTCTTCGCTACATAAAACTAAAATGCTTTATTAAATAAAAATAATTTATCCTGTTGTTAACTCATAACTAAAACTTCATGGCTTTGAAAAAAAGCCATTAATTATTAAATTCTGTATAATCCATGTACAAAAGTATAAATTTATTAAATTTGTCCCTTAATAAATTTTCCAAACTTTATAAAATATTAATAAATTGGGAAAAAGTTTCAGAAATCAGTAATTGTTTTGTTATGCGATCAAAATTATTAAAATGAAAAATGACAAATAATAAATAACTTAATATTAATTCAAATGATGATAAAGAACCAAAAATAATACCATTTTTTTTTATCAGTTCATTAACACCTGCCCTCAAATTGAAAGTGTAAATTGTGAGAGATGTTGGATTATTAAGAGTATTAGATTTTTCTCTCAAACTTATAATACTGCATAATTAATACAGCAGTTTTAAAATTTAAAAATAACAATTGATATTGTTGTATGCTTGTATATTTTGTGTGCTATAATTTTTGAGAAATTTTGTATCCTGAAAATATTCTGCATCCCCTTTTCACAAGTTGCATTATACCACAATACTTCTTGCTACCTGCAGACAGCTACACTTAGTCAACCATACTGTCAGCAAACAAAATCAACATGGCAACTAAGAAAACAAATTCCCTGACTTTCCATGTTTTTCTGAACACTAATAAAAATCCCTGACTTTCCTGATTTTCCCTGACTTTCCAGGTGCGTAGGAACCCTGTACATAATGCATATCTTAGATCACCCCTTAATTGTACAAAGGAATAATACACAGCATATTACATTATCTTTATTAATTATGTACAAAGTAGTGACAAATAGTAGTGTTCACTTTGCAACTCTTCAGAACAAAAGTAAATTATTTTGTTACCCAATATCATACATTTTATGGAAATTTGATTTTGATCTACTATTTATGTTGCTGAATAGAGAATACAATTTTCATTCAAACATCTGATACTAATATTTTCAAATATAAAAACATCTTAAATTGGAGAAAATATTATTAAAGCCTGTTTATGATACTGCAAGGATAAAAATGTAACCACTGTCATTTAACAGCCACAATGTGTCTAGCCTGTAGGTGCAGTCTGTTTGCATCAGTGTATAACAGTGAAGTTTAAACATGAATTCATCTTCCTCAATCCATACAAAGCATAAATTAGTGACAAAATTTTTAACTTTGGAAGATTGCATGTATAACAAAATAAATTCTTTGGGGTATTATGTAACCTTATGCATTCTCAAGAAATGTAATTGCAGTAAGACCAGAAAGAAATGTCATTTTCTTGCACTGTGATGATAAAAGATTGCACTGCAGTAATGAAATAGGTGGAGACACTTAACCTGAAATTACAGATTAGTCCACATTCTCCTTATACCTCAGATCTGGTATCGAAGTTCCAATTGTTTCCAAAACTGTGCAGCATTGAAAAACTGCAGCATTGAAAAACTGTGCAGCATTGAAAAGTCAACACTTCATCAGATGTCCATGTTCAATTTGCTGTATGCAAATGAAGAAGGAAAAATCAATTTTTAATGCAAAAAATGGATTGAACATTTGAAAAAGGATGTCATTCTGTCAATGTGTGATTATGTTAAAAAATGAATATGTATGAATAAAAATTAATTTTTAAAAAGCTGCTCACATCATTCTATCTTTCTAAACAAAAATTGTATAAAAAAGATCTTATCAAATCAATCCTGTATTTAATTAAAGTCCTAGTATGTTTCTAGATACAGTAGTCACCACTGGACTTAGACCAGGCCAGGCAACATGTCATCCAATAAATAAGTTTTAAAAAAAAAAGTAGCCTTGATTCATTGCATGAATGTTTTACATAATTTAAAACAAATATACAGTAATTAATCTTTATTTTTGTTAAATATCAATCTTGCAAGTTTAACAAAATTGAGCCAGTCAAACTTGAGTCACAGGCATCAAAAAACAGACTGCTATATTACCCATGTCAATTAACATAGACCAGCCGATAATTTGCATTTAAATAATGTTACAATTGCAGTATTTCTGAAATAACTGATTATTTTAGCCTCACTTTAGCATGAAGTAATTCTGTGAATGGTATAAGGTTGCAAACCTTTACATTTACAAACCTTTGTATTTTGTCTACAATGACCAGCAGAAAAGCTGTTTCAGAAGATTCAAGGAATGCTATCATTGCTAAACAAAGTCATGGCATGTCTGAGAGAGCTATTAGAAAAGACCTTATGCTAAGCAAGACAACAGTGCACCAGATTACTGTTTGTTACACTAATAATGGCCATGTTATACCTAACAAAACTGCTGGACATTAGCGATAAAGTTCAAAAGTTAATGATAGGAGTTTTAAAAGAATTGTAAAAAACAACTGGCATGCCAGAGATATTAAATGTAACTATAATATGGAATGACACATTCTTTCCAGTTGTATCTGTTTCGACAATATGCAGGAGATGCAAGAAATATATTTCCAGTTCTATGCAGCACATGAAAAACCTTTGCTAACAGCAAGCACATCAAAAGAAGAAATGGGTACAGTGAACCAAAAAACATCTTTCCTGGTCTCAACAAAAGTGGCATGAAATTCTGTGGTCTGATAAATCAATTATCAGCAACAGACAAAAGCAAACGTGTCATTCAATCTGCTAGTCAAGCTAATGAGCCATCATTGTTATACTGCTCAGTGAAGTTTCCTGTCGGCTTCATGGTTTGGGGATGTAAGAGTGCCAGTGGTATGGGTCAGTTGACATTTGTTGATGGAACACTTGCTTCAGAGCAATACATTAAAAATTCTACAACAGTATTTACTTCCGTTCTTAGCAAAGCTCTATCCAAATAAAACCTGCATTTTCTAGCAGGATGAGGCCAGTGCCATACAAGCAGAAAAAAAATAGTGGCTTGCAGAAAAGAACATATAAGTTCTTCCATGGCCATCCAACAGCCCAGCTCTTTCACCAATTGAGAATGTATGGAACATTATGAAGAGACATCTGCGAAAAACATGCCCTCGGACAGTTGAAGGACAAAGCTTCCATCTTAACTATCTGGAATTCCATAATGGCAGATGAATGAGAACACCTAGTCAACAACTTACTGAAATGCATGGAAGGTGTTTTAGCCGCAAAGGTGATTCAACAAAATATTAAACACGCAGTGGTCTATGTTCATTGACAGGGATGACACAGTGGTCTATGGTTTTTGATGTCTGACTGAAGTTTGACTAGCTCAATCTTTTTTTACACTCTTGAAACAGTGTTGGCGATTATTTTGTCTTTTGAACACTATATAGTGTAAATACACAAACACTTGGCAATCTTCACCTTAAGTTTATTCAGTTTTCAGTTGTGTATTTACACTATATAGTGTTCAAAAGACAAAAAAAATAGCTCAATCTTGTTAAACTTGCAAGATATCAAGTTATAGAAAGTATATTTAGCAAAAAGTAAAGTATATTTAGCAAAAATAAACATTAATTACTGTATATTTGTTCTAAATTATGTAAAACAATCATGTAATGAATCAAAGCTACTTTTTTTTAAACCTATTTATTGGATGACATGTTAACTGCAGCCTGGTCTAAGTTCAGTGGTGACTACTGTATATGTTGTAACAGTAATTATAATCAATAAAAAAGCAACGGAACAGCTACTCTTGAAATCTGTCATTTTTTAAAATAAGATCACACAAACACACCTTTTGTATTAATAGGGTAATGCTACAAAAGTAAATGTTAAAATAATTGCACCAAAAAAAAATTCATATGGTTGCTTATAGAAAGCATAATTTGACAATAGTAAAAACACTCCAAAAATTCCTTAAAAATTCCAATAATATCTTTAAATCTCTAATGTTTTTGGCCATATTTAACCAACCTTCTTTAGGATAAACTTACAAAATGAACAATAGTTGCATTCAAGTAGAATAAAAGTTTTAAAACATTATAGAATATAAGGTCTGATACTAAAATTGTATATTCTGAAATGTTTTAAAATTTTGATTCTATTTGAATGCAACCATTGTTCACTTTGTAAATTTATCCTAAAGAAGGTTGGTTAAATATAACTGAAAATGTTAGAGATTAATGCAATGTTTAAGATATTTTTGGATTATTTTACTATTCAGCATTGCATTTCTCAGTAGTTGTAAGTTGAGAATATTCAAAGACCATATATTATCAAGCTTATTCTTAAAATCTGAATGCACTGAAGACACTCTTAACTGACTGACTCATATAATTGGTGTTTTACTGTAAAACTCCAATTATCCAAGTAAATTGATAGTGGAGTTCTTTCTGTAATATATGCTCCTGGTCTGCTTAATTTCCTCATGC